AGTAGAGTTCTATATTCTGCCTTTAAATGGAAGAAGGAGTTTAGGAGAAAAATCCCGATTTGAAATGGGACTTCTGATGTGTTTGAATGCGTAGTTTGCAGAAGACAGACGGAGAGAGAGAGAGAGAGAGAGGGGGGGGGGGGGGGGAGGGAGAGAGAGAGAGAGAGGGAGAGGGGGGGGGGGAGAGAGATGGGGAAAGGGGACAATCTCTTATAACAGTAATGAAAAGGGACTGAAGATTGATACCTTGATAACTTATTCTTGTCCACAATAATTTGTACGTGGAAATATGTTTGTTCTTATTATATATATATTCCTCTTAATATCTACTTCTTCTCAAAGCATTCTATGCGTTGTCTAAGCACCGCACCCGTCTTAGTTATCATCACTTCTATACTTCCATCCATATTCTCCTTCAGCGTGATCAGACAACTATTATGAAAATTTGAATACCATTGGATTCAATGTCCGAAACCATGTCGTTGTGCCTGTCCCAACAACTACAATTATACCATGTCATTTACAGAGTTGCTTTAATGGGACGATGAGCCTCCAGTGCCTTGTTGCCTAATATCTACAACTACAAGCATTTACAAAATATACGCTTACTCTCTTAGCATTCTATGTAAGCGAGACATCATTGAAACAAAGAATCACTCTCGTAAAAAAAATTGTTTGAAAAGTAAAAGACACGACGAACAATATCAGATAAAGTTCTTGTGATACTCATCGCACCCGCGGGCGGGCCGTAAAGTTATAGGGGTGTGGCCCCGCGCTCTTGGCTTCTATCGTCTCGAGCGGGGGACTTCAAGTTCTCTGTCTCACCACGTCGCCTCCAACCCTAAACCATGGCAGGTAAAACAATCCCGGATTAGATTTCTTCTGAAGATACCTCTACTGATATGCACTATCCTACCCGTCGGCATGATGCAGCAGAGATATAGGTAAGATGGCTGTGTAAACATTCGGCTCAAGTTATCCCCTTCGTTCCCAGGTGAACTTTTTACGAGAACAAATTGTCGGCCCAGCAGCAAACTCTCGAAAGTACTTCAAGTTTTGATTGCTTTAATTTCTCATATTCCCATCAAACTATTCTCCACTTTTCCTTCTCACTTTCCTGCCATGTACCCCCCTCCTTCCCCCACTCTATATCTCTCTTCCCCTCCTCTTTCCAGTTTCTTTCTCTCTTTCACTTTTTATTATTTCACTCTCAGTGAGGAATCAGTGGCCTTTCTCAGGATTGTTACACCTTTGTTGGGACACATTTCTCGAAGGCGTGAGAAAGGTTGAACGTCGTTGAGAAAAGGGAAACATTTAACACGGGTTGTATTGGGTGGGAATAATTATGCGCTCAGCATGAGACGTGGGACTTTCCTTGTCCACTCCAAAATGGGAAAGTGACTAAAAAATGACTCTATTTTGATAGGACTGAAAGTTATTTCAGAAACTCGAAAATTTGCGTTAGAAAACGGTTATAATAACAATTTCATACACCCTTTAGAAAAGCTTTGCAGTATAAGTTTAGAATTAAGATTAACCCAATCACTAATCCTCATTAAATTAATATGTACGAGTTAGTCTAAAGTGCACACTCTCCACTCCCCATGGATTATAATGTTCAGTGGCTATTTTCCAGGCACGCACATGCTTATTATTTTTTTTACCAGGGCGACGTTCGAATATTACTGCATGCGCACTCGTTTGTGCATCTGGGTAGAGAGTAATTTGGACAAAAATGCATTGCGTAGGAACATGACTTCCTTGCCTGGATTCGAACCCATGACCCTCGCATCTCTCTGATCAAGTATTTAAACAAATAAGCTACACTTAGCCTATCGCATGTGGGAATTGGTAGTTGGCTAATCATGACAATAGTTTCAGCAAGGTTTGTCAAATTGGAAGACAGTGTTATGACAAATAAAGCTTTGTGAACTTGAACTGAAGAAATCAGCTTAAAATTGTGGAGAAAATCGAGGAAGGAGAGAGGAAAATGAGGTGTGTGTGCGTGCATAATGTGTGTGTGTGAGCGAGCGAGAGAGAGAGAGAGAGAGAGAATAGGAAAAACGAATAGGAAAGAAAGATGACCCGAGGGGACAGGTCATAATCTGTCGTTGAGATCTCACCAGAGGTTAAGGGTCACCAAGGTCAGATGGTCAAGTAGACAGGGTCGTTCTGCTACGACACGATTCAAGGTCAATGACCTTTCAATTATCAATACATCATCGCGGTCCCTCCCTCACGTCCCCAACCCATTGCCAAGTTCACCCCGATTACCATCAGTTTACATGACACATGATGTACGATGGGTTGATCATGTTTACCGTTTTGAGCCCCCGACACCGTTACCATAGTGATTTGAAAGTTTTAGAGAATTGAAGGAAAATGGAGGAGGAATAGACAAGTGCACGAGGGCTTAGTAACGGAAGGGATGACGATTCGGGGCAAGGCAGATGGGGATAGAACTTGTTCAAATATCATGAGAGGAAAAAGAATTCCAACATAACAAAGGAAGAAGGCAGAGGGACACGGAGAGAGAAAGAGAGAGAGAGAGAGAGAGAGAGAGAGGGAGGGGGGGGGGGGGGGGGTGGAGATAGATTTTAAAAAAGAGAGAAAAAAGTGATTCTTTATAATGTATACACTTTCTCAAGCATTATGATTGAAGCATAATTCGAACACTTTAATTTTTTTGGTAAGAAATTGTGAAGTAATACCTTTAAATGAAGGTTAAAGAAGGTCATTGAAATAGATACAGTCGGGCAGGTCTCTTTCGGTTGTTTTGACATCAATTTTCCGCGTCGTCTCGCGTCGTTGGACAATGCAAGAATCTTAAAGGTGAACTCCGCAATAAATCGAAATGACGTATCGTTCTTTTTTAAGCTTTTTAGCTTTCAGTTAAAGGAAATTCTGGGGATACAACTATTTATATCACAACGTCAAAATCTTAATAGCTTTGCTGTAGCTACCAAATTTTTAAAGAAGTTCTGTTTAATAACAAGCCCACATAAAACAACCAATTTATTGAGAATATAATGTTTAATTGTCACGAACTCACTATAAACCAAACGAATGTGACATAAGCTGAGATATAGAAAAAATATTAATACTTTATATTGTATATCAAGGTTTTTATGCCTCTGATTGGTCAAAAATATATGCATGTTATTTACTATTGACCGCTGCGTCACAAATACAGGGCAATGGTTGGAAATAATATCAGGTCAATAGCTTCTTTTGCACATCTATCTTCAATTAGATTGAATATTCATCTCACCATGATGAAACGGGGTTAGATTCACGGGAAACTTTCCTTTCTTCTTAAAAGAAAAAACAAATGGATTGGCGTTGTTTCTTTAATTTCTATGTTTTGTTACGAGCGCAAGCTGTATGACATTACGGCGAGACATTCCAAACGACATTCATGTTTACATGTCTCTGTTATTGATACCATTTCGCGCCATGATTTGTTTGACGCGAGAGGGTCATTGCTGTCGCTGGCGGCTAGATTGGACATCAGTTTCCTCTTCGTATGGCGTAGTCCGTAGAAGGGGAGGGGGCGCAAAGGGGCGGTATAAGGGGATGGGACTCTCCTACTCTCGTCAGGATGTAGACAGTCTTTGAAAATGATGACTTTGAAATTAATATCCATTTAACATGAACGATAACAGCGTTATGTATATGAAATTTTAAAATGTAGTGATTTGTCAAAAATAACCAAGAATCAGAAAATAATTTGGATTTGAAAGAACGTTCTATGTTGACTCAAATGGACAGCAAAGGAATTATAAGAATTTGTGTAGGGTTAAATTTTGCATATCTGGGTAGTCAAGTCTCAAATTATGGTTATATCCTTTTTAAAAACTTGTTACTAGGACACCTCAAATGCGTTTCTCTGCTGGCAAGATAGTCGATGAAAATCCAGAAAACTTTTAATGTTTGAATAGGCGCATGCTGGCCTCCTACCCTTAGAAATACTTGTTATGCTGCTTTCTATATATTGCCCATCTACATTTTAACATTCGGCGTGATGTTTGTTCAAGAAACAAAAATCTCCTCCCTATATTTCACCTCTCAAAGTTTGAAGGGCATTGTGAGGTTTTGATAATCACAAAATTGGTTAAGATTCTAACATAAATGTCATGAAAATGTTACGCTGGATGTTTAATACTGTAATGTCTAAAGAACTACATTTGATTGATGATGAACTGAGCTATAAAGAAATTAAGACGACCTTGCCCACATATCTGTTGAACACTTAATCCCATATAGTTATGCAGATGCGTGCTTGTGCATTTTCAGTGAATCTAATTTCAACATGCAGATGCAGTTATTTTGCCGGCCCAAACTATTCATATTTTATGCAATAAATGGATAACAAACAGTTCAGAGTGACTTCAAAACGACAGAGCTTTGATTTTAAGTTTGTCAAAACTTGAAACTAAAATTGAAGTCTCTTGATTCTCTTTAATATCAAAGGAGTAAGGCGAGTGATTGTAGTTGGGTGCGAGATAAAATCTGAAAAATTCCACCCATGCGTAGCCGATGATGTTGCGCCGTGAATGAGGCCGATGACGGATAACGGATATTTCGTCTTTTCGGAATCTCGGATGACTTGCTGAAAGATATTAATACGAGAAACAATAATCGTCGGCGAGAAGGGAACAATATTGTCTCGAAGATAACAAACCAGAGACTCTATTATAATCTCCATTTCTGTCTAAGGTACTTCAAAATAATTCATGAGGTATTACAAGATGAAAGGAGCGACTCTCATTTTTTTCCTGAAAATCGAAATCATGGTGCATTTATCGTGTGTGTATAGGCCTATATATTCATACAATACCATACAGACAAAATAATATACAGTAGGTGAAGTTTATCTTTTTTTAATCAGCAGTGTAGCGAAAAGATTTATATTTGGGGTGAAGTTTCTCAAACTCTTGTACTCGAGAATAAGACTCATTACATTGCCAAGTAAAATGTTCAATACATTGTACATAAACATGGTATTGCGAGACCGGGGTAAGTTTGGCGTGATTTCTCGAAAATCGCACCCCTTGCGTCACGCATGAAGCGTTATTGAATATCGTAAGACTCCGTCAACGACACGCGCAGTTTTTGTCGCGTTGTTTGAGAGTGACGTTGTACAAGAGGTGAATGCAAAGTGAACAGTTCCAATATTACTCTGAATTAATGACACACGCACGAATTGTCTTCACATTTCTTGATTGACATAAATAATGACGCAATCGAAATGACGTCATGATTCCAGCGAGCATAGAAACATAGCATTTTCAAGATATGAAATTTCCCAAACAGCGAGTGAAACATTTATAACACCATAAAAACAGCGATATTGCTTTCTCGTGTGATTTTTTTGGTTTGAAAGAAAAGTGATATTACAGAGTCTGTTTTTTTTTTAAAGTAGAAATCTTGGTTTTCGCCTTCAACATTTTGTATATCAATTCCTATCGCCAGCAGAGACCTTTCCTTTGCACTCGACCTTTTTTTTTTCTTCTCACGAAAAATATCAACAGTAGTTTTCTCAAACTCCAACACAGCTTGCCTACTGGGAACCGCAATGGTCTGTAATTAAGCGAGACTCTTGTACAAGGTGCCTAAGCAAAATAAAATATCAGAACTGTTCATTCAATCCATAATTTTGATATCAACTAAGTTGTATCTCCGTGGCTTTAGATACAGACAATCAATTTTTGTAATTTCTGCAAGCATCAGATATATTTTATGACTTATCGGGGGCTGAAAACAGGGTGAATTTTGGTTCGAATTGTGAGTTATAAGGTAAAAAACGTGAACAGGAAAATAGAGCCATTATCGTGATTTTAAAGTACTTGGTTTTGAGCCACATTGTAGATTTATTGTGGTCTGAGAAGTGCTCAGCTTGAGAATATTACTAAAACAAACATACCTTTATTCATATCAAATTAGATCGTTCCGTTATGGCGGTGGTTACAATACATAATTTATATACAGTGGTTATACTTAAATGAAACGTCCCGTAGTGATTCAAAAATCATAAACCTCAGTTATGTATATGTATTTTTAGAATGTCTTTAGTTATATTTAGAATGCAATTATTAAAAGCTTTATGATTCACAATATTGTTCAGCACAGACAATAACCTAATTGTTTTATCTGAATTAGGAACTTGGGGTTATACAGGAAACCAATAAAAGAATGGCTCAAGTAAAGAATTAACATGTTAAGTACTATTACGTCATTTATTTTAGGCATTCCATGTACCTCATTTACCTATTTTGTATTGCATGAGTTATAATTTATTTTGAAAAGTGTTGTATTATGTTTTATATATCTAAATCTTCGGGTCTATCATGGTACATTATATTACTATATGCATTATGTCATGTTATTACTAACAGAAAAAGAGTGTTTCTGCTGGATATAATTTTCCTTCTGTTTTGCTATAAACACTGTATTGTAAATTGATTTATACGGTACATTATGTTTACAGAATATTTATATCTTACATTACATTGTAAATTGACTTATATGACGTATATGTTTCCAAACGGAATATTGATTTGTTACATTACATTGTGATTATATTAGGTTTATAAACAGAATATTGATGTACATCAATGAAGTTTAATAAATACAATACAATACAAAACATGTTCCCAATTAATGAATGTACTTGAAGAACACTCACACATACAATGTGAAGGAGTAGTGGTTGAGTAGACATTAATTGGGGGGAAGCCCAAAAGTATGAGGACTGGGAGTTAGACTAGTTCTTGGACAAGCTGTCTGATGTCATACTTTTAGTTGTTGGCTTCTGAAACCCCTGAAAATTATGGCGCCGTTGATTGCTATATCTCTAGCCATAAACTTGATAAACGACTTCTCATGAGTAAGACGACAGGTCCAAGTTCTTTATTGCTTTTCTTAGCTTTCTCATCCTTTTTTCTTTCTGTGATTCTCTATCTATCGTTTTATCTCTACCCGTCTCTCGCTCTCTCTCTCTCTCTCTTCACCTCTTGCCCACAATTCATCTCCATCTCCCTCTTGTTTGCCTTTGTTTGTCTCTGTCTCTAAATCTTTGTTAGTTTCTCTCTACCTCTGTCTGTGCGATACTTTCTTTCTTTGTATAATACCTGAAATAGCGGACATCTATCTATTCTAAGTTTCTAACAAGTAGGCAATTGGCAAAAGCTGGAAGGAAATCGAATTGACGAATTTGTTTGTAAGACATCTCTCAGGGTTTAAATGTCCCATAATCATTTGTTGTTTTCATGAATTGTTTCTATCACAACTCCTCTCCGTCACTTTCTCCCCATATCACCCTCACTGATATACCATGTATCATCATCATAACATCGTGCTAGGGCTCTCATTGGCAATGCTTTTCATTTAAATGTATTTGACAAAAAAGAACCTCATAGATTCCAAGTATTCAGTGCTGACGATACGCTCCCCTTACAAATCTTCTTGAGAGTACTCCATTTAATTCGTAACTCAAGAGCCATTTGGTGGATTTGCGTAAAATTTTAATTCAGTTTTTGTTACCACTCTTATCCTAATCGTAACTCAAGAGCCATTTGGTGGATTTGCGTAAAATTTTAATTCAGTTTTTGTTACCACTCTTATCCTAATCGGATCAAAAGGGAATTGCAATAACAACAAGGCGCTTCAAACGGCTCCGTGTAACATTTTCATAGAAAATTTCACAAATCACTATTCGTAGATCCTTCCCCAAAGTTTTGGACTTGCGTCTTTTAGCATCTCAAAATATACCTTGGGGTGTTTCACAAAGATCCTAAGTCGAAATTAACTCAAAGTTGAACTTAAAAATTAGGGAGAGCCATTTGTAGCCTTAAAATTAAATATTTCCAAAAGCAAAAGTTGAAGTAATTTAGACTTTTTATAAATTCCACATCAAGAACATAAATTCTCCTTCATAATAGTAACTATGAATGATTTGAATCAACATTTTATGCCTTTTGAAATATCTTTTACAAAATCAAAGATGCTAACGGCTTTCCATAATTGTTAAGTCCAACTTAGAGATAAGTTCAACTTAGGATCTTTGTGAAACACCCCCAGGACATCCTCCACCGGTGGAATTTGTCGCCCGTGCCCTATCAGCACTCGATGCATCCCGACCTTGGGGACTGATTGAAAACCCATTGTGAACTTAACCTCATCGTCAGTCAAGCAGAGAGATGGATGAACGTCAAGCCAGGATGCCTCGTAAATCATGGTGACAAATATTTAAGGAGAAAGGCGGTATATCTATCAGTTGAGCAAGAAATAAGTGTTGGAATGTGAAAACAGTGGATAGGACACAGAATAGAGGAACAGAGGAAATTTTGATCATGGGCAATGCATGCGGTGACTTTCTTGTATTTTGATTCCGGATGATGTTTTGTAATTTGAAATATTCATGGCTTTTTATATCAATTTTCAGAATCTCATTCAGAATGCTCTCCACATTCGCATCTTGCATATCGAGCTTTGAACGAATGACTCTTTAAAACTTTGTCGAAGTCGGATCGTAAACTATATGCAATAGTTTATGTCTTGGATGCTTCTTTTACAATAAATGCACTTCAAAGACAACCCTCCTCAGATATATACAGGGTATATACAGGTATATCCGCTTCCTCATTCTATGCATAATCTTGCAAGATACTGTCTGTTTCAGCTCTTAAAGCCCGTCTGCACTAGTTTGGCCAGGGGGATTAGACCTCCCTGCAAGGTCACTGACAGGTGGCTACATCATCAACTCAGCTCTCAATTAACATAAGAAAAAGAGGATCATGAGGGACCGATGGTCACCGATTAGGCATTGTTTTCTATATAGAGGGAGCAAGTAGCTACAAGTAGTACAATGGGCCTTTAAACGCGCCATACTTTCTCAAGAAAGCAATACAAGCCAGGACATCTAGAAAGCGAAACTTGCGTACTTAGTAAGGGTTACACGGCAGGTTCGAATTCCGTTTCTGACAGGAATGTGTCAGATGTTGTGCTGCCCTCGGTCTCAACCGCACCACAAAAGCAGGGGAGAAAGATGAGACGGGACGGTTCCCTGAGGCACTTTTTTCTATAGATGTTGAACTTATGAAAATGAATCGCTTCGATTAATCTTTACACGTGTCAGTACGAAAACAAAGACTGGAGTAATGAATGACACGATAATCAGCTGTACTAGAGCATGTAAAGAGAAAATACTGCAGCTACAGTTTGGCCCGAAAGTTTACGTACACCGAAAAGAAAAACAATTTTTACTCACATTTTCACAACTGAACTCTTTCGTATCAGGAGTCACATATGTAAATGTCTCCGAGTATGTCTCCGATGTATATACTATATTATACATTAATTCGAGACCAAACTTGTCTATTTCCTGAAGTGAAAAGTTGTGATAAAGTATATTGCTTTTCTACCAGGTGTATGTAAACTTTCGGGACCAACTGCATTTGAGCCTGCGTATAAAGTTTTTTTTTTCGAGTACTAATATGATATGATCATACTTGATCGAAAGTATTTTTTTTCGTTGGGTGATCAGAAGTCTTGTTCATAAATACCTCTCAGCGCACCATTCACTATAGATCATTCAGTCGCATCCACTGTAACAGACGACCATATTATAGCACATAAAGCAATGCATAAGGTATGTTCATCGAAGTTCTGTATCCGTTATGCCCCGAGCTGCATATTGCAAAATGAATGTAGGAGTCAGTTTTACAGCAGCCGAAGCGAACGTGGCTCATCATGGAGTTGACAATTCTGTCGCTACCCCTTTGTCTCTCCTTTGGAAAAAGAATGACTCCTGCCACCCGATTGGCCACCATGGGCACATTGTCGGACTGGTGGGTTACATGCATCACCAGCGGGTACCGAAACGGGTGGTGTGTATCCCATTAAAGTTGTTTCTCATAGGGTTATAACCACTCGTGTTCTTCTTCTTTTTCCTTCCCTGCAGGTATGAATGACCCCTGCGATCCAATGGGACACCACGGGCACCATCCGGGGCTGGACGGCGACATGTACCATCAGCACGTGCCAGCCGCAAGGACCAAGCGAATGCGAACCTCCTTCAAGCACCATCAGCTGAGAACCATGAAGTCCTACTTCGCCATGAACCACAATCCGGACGCCAAGGACCTCAAGCAACTGGCCCACAAGACGGGGCTTACCAAGAGAGTTCTGCAGGTGAGAGATTGATCCTTTTCTTTTCATCCGAATGAATGTAGCAGCAGAATTGCCATGGCAGGAACAAGACGAAAGCTTCTGAATAATAATTATAAGAGGTCGACAGCTGAGCTTCTTGGGTCATGTTATTTGAAAGAATGGTTTGGGAAATCTTGCACTGACTGGAAGAATCGAGGGGAGGAGGAGTAGGGGTAGAGGGAGGGTTCTGTGGATGAGTAGCTTAAGGAGTGGGATTTCTGAAAGTGGAATTGATCTCGGGGAAAATGAATTACTTCATAGAATATGGGACAGAGAGTTGTGGCATTCCACGGTCGCCAACGTCTCAGGACATGGCACGTGATGAAGAAGAAGACAAGTCAGTGGACTACCACTGTCAGACAGTCGCTATTTTGATAAAGGGGCCAAGTGGATGATTATCCACTATGATAGCTACACTTTCTGGATGATTTGCATTTTCCTTGACGGTTTTTCAGTAAGTCAACAACCCATGGTATAGAGGTTGCCCTGGTTGTAATCTGATAATTACCACCATGGGTAAGCCTATATTCGTGTTAGTTGTTTAATGCGGTCATACACGGGATATGGCTTTGGATGTAATCATCCAGATTAGATGTAATAGTACAAGGGGAAGTGGTTATAGTATCCTTCACGCTTCTTAGTAGGTCTGTCACTTCAGAATGCATGTTACTGGAATTAATATCTAAGTCAGACCTAACAAAAAGGGCCGGTACGCCTTCATTCCGGATCAAAAACTGACTTAACCTACTTCATAATCGTCATGCAAATCTTCCTCTACTTGTTATAGATATCATGTTCTTTAATTAATGGAACAGTATCACTTTTATAAAAGAATGACTACCTTCACTTTGTCCTCATTTTGCCATCTCTGTTCTTATCTCTGTTCTTTCCAGGTTTGGTTCCAGAATGCCCGCGCCAAATACAGGCGGACTTCCACGAAGAAAGACGATGAGAAATCGGAAAAGAATGCCTCCGAGTGCGATGGAGATCAGCCATCACCGTCGACCCAGGTGGACGACCAGGACAACATCAGTATCACCAGCAGCGGCGGTGGTGGTGGTAGCGGTAGCGGCAGCGATCCCACCGCTGACACCATGTATGATGACGGCGACGAGGACGACGAAGATAAGCTCCTTGATGAAATCACGACCTACAGTGAGCTCAAAACGGCATCGCCTGCCGTGGCGGACGAGGTGTCCACCATCTCCTCGATGCCAGCGTCGGCGCGGATGCTGCATGGTCTACATGGCCCACCCGGCCCGACTCCGGGTAACATACACCACGGTATGGGCCTTATGTCGCATGGCTTTGTCGAAATCTTCAGTAACTCGGCATAGAGAACCATTCTCCCAGATCAATTGTTATCGCTTATTTATTTGATGACGGACGTCATATTGCTTTTCATTGCCAGCACAACGATGTACAGACAGGAGCATGGCTCTAGTGAGAGAGAGAGGCCTATTCTGCATCCCCAAGATGCATCATTATAAAATCGAAACATGGAACCGTTTTTATCAACACCAAATCAATCCTGGCTTCTGGGTTTTGTTTTGTAACATGGACCTTGAAGGAACTCTTTGCGGACACAACCAACTGAACTTTCTATGTCGATCCTGTCCGTGAACCATAAGATTGGAATCATATCAACATACGAAAAAAAAGAGACGGACTTAAATCGAGAATTAGAATATATTTACAGACCATGGACGAATGCTGCTCATTGGTGTTTTCAGTCACGTGTGCTAGTTGGTGAAATCACTCTGTCAACGACAGACTTCTTGGTTTACACAGAAAACTTCGTGATTTTGACTGCGGTGTTAGTGTTAATGTTCGTTTTAGTTTCAGTGTTATTACATTGTTTTAAGAGTGTTACATCTCTAGGTCTAGAGGTCAAACGTTAACTCTGAATGAAATGTTCTCATGTGTAACATCTCTAGTGCTTGGTCCCATGACAAGTTTTCTCGTGAAGTTCCTCTTTCTGGGTGACCATATCATGGATGCGCCAAGGTTAGCCTCTCACTTTTCCATATAAATGTTTGTAGCACTCTGTGACGAAATCGATGACGTGATATTAGACCAATCATGAAATGAAACTGCATAAGCAATGTCATGGTGATGACATGTTAACTAGTCATTTTATGTGTTTCGTTGCAGAATAATTATGAAGAGATATACGGGATGAAAAGTTAAAACAATAATGTCCAGATCAGCAGACAATGTTGATCTACTGTCTATGTTTAATCCTTGTCAAAAAGAAATCTACTTTGCATTTATGAATAACGGCTTTGGATTAATAACTGAACCTCGTTTTTATGTGTATCCATGTCCATGCATATCATCAAAAGTTACGGTTATATATTTTCTGAAATTATGTTTAATTTGTGTATTCAGTCTTGCACAATAATTGTCTTCAGTCTTCACCACTAATTCTAAAGTGTTGAGAAAAACATGGTGTTTCAACGTAAGTGTGAATCCCTCACTACCTATCATCACATGCCAAATAGTATTAACGGTTGCACTATTGATATAGTTAATTATCATTTGCATAATTAGAGTAATGTTGGCACCAAGTTAAGTCGCACTGTGCGTTCAAAATGCACTTGCAATTCTGGTCGTGGGTGTTGTAATAATAGTCATTTTGTTTATCTAGGAAAGCTTCATCGGCTTTAGTGCTATTCTTTCTGCAATTAGTATTGCCCCAGCAATCGCAAGGTACCCATTTACACCTCGGTCATGTTGGTTGAGATTGGCAAATGTGGATTAATGTCTTGTCAAAGGATGTTTGTGCAGGGCTGGGATTCGAACCCTCAACCCTTGGATTGTGAGTCAAGCGATGAACCACTAGACCATCATGAATGTGAGACCTTTGTCTAAACTAAGATGCATTACGCCCGCCTAGCGTGATCTCAGCCATGCATTTTTTTTAAACTTGTTGTCAATTCTGTGCAGTCGTCGTGTGATGTGTATTCAAATTAGGATTCAATGTTCCAAACGTCACGAATGCTATAGAAGATAAGCACAACATTATCATAAAACAGCTATACGTCTTTCCAGAGTCCAACTACTTCTCTCAATGTTTAAAATGTCAAAACTGATATGATATATGCAGGATAAGCACAAAGACATAATCTTTATATAAAACGGTTCGGCTTTGTCTTTCCACTTCCAACCATACGCAAAATGTTCGTCAACCTTCATCTCACAAGGTCTGATTTTGTATCTTCTCTTTTAATGATATGTGGTCGTTCAATTTTATTATATGTCCATTTTGTGTGGCAGTTTCGTAAATTGCCCATTTGATAAGATATTGTGTTTGTATTCTTGTCCCATAGATGTCGTATATTCACTGTGTATGTTGGATTACACTCCATGTACTAGCACAAAATTTGCACCTTGTAAAATAGAATACCTTGCCATAATTATTTTGTTATAGACATCGAGTACTTATTATCACTTGTTCTGCTAACAGGATTTGCACATCGAATGAGGGGGAATTGAAGTCATTTCATGTAGCGGTTTGTATTTACCGCATGTCAGTTGATAACAAGACGTATTTAAATGAATCCAAAACAAATTCATAAATTGATTAACCAGCAAAAATGATAAAGAAATTCCTTTTCATGAAATTGTTAGATAGGCAGTATAGTACCATTAGATTCGAATAAACAATGGCTTAATTTCAAACTTTTTAAAATTTTGAGTACTCATGCAACAAACTGAATATCATGATATAGTAAGAGCACACGAAAAATATCAAATTTGTAGATACTTTCGACTTTCGTATAATCATGATGATGAAATCGTTGACAAAAATCATTCTGTCTTTGTTTAACAAGTACTAATATTCGTACTATAATTATTTACGATATCGCTCCACTTCGTGGCTGGGTAATCTAGATAGTTTAGCCATAGAGAAGTAAAGGAAATTAGAATAATAAAATGATTTATTATACAGCATTAAATTGCTCTTTCTGCGTAGTCTTTTACGCAATAACAATCCCCTGTTTGGTTCAACACATTTTATAGGCAAAATACTCTTGATTGTTATTGCAAACACAAACATATCGTATTTTTATCTTTTTAAAAGATTGCAAACACAAAGATATCTCATTTTTATTTTCATTTTCCCTTTTCTGCGTTAATACCTCAAAAATTTAATCATACCTCAATTAAGTCTGCCAGAATCTTGCCATTCTGTTAAGAGGTTTACAGATTTCTGTTAATGCTTCTATGACACCCACTTTTCCTAAAACTCAATCAACATACTTGTATTTATACAGTGCGTCACAAAGAAAAAAACCCCGAAAACAAACGGATATTGAGAAAAAATTATGAGCTATATAAATATAATTCCTTGCTTTTTATACTGCAGAAGTAATGTGATTTTGAATGATGATACATTGACGTTTTTAATCTATATACCCGCTTCACTGAGCAACATTGTTTAGAAAATGCCATGTCAAAATCCGTTTGTGCCAGATGTGAGTGTAACGATGAACATGGTTTTAAACGTTTTTCTCACCATTATCGTTTGTCTTCGGCGGATTTAGTTTTTTTTTCTTTCTGGGACGCACTGTATATTCGAATTCGCTTCTCAAGCCGCTTTATACGCATTTAGTCAACCGGAGAAAACTTAATTGTTACATTGTATATGGTTTGGCGAAGAAGCGATTTTGAGGCGCCTTTATGTACTAGGGGTCTTTATGTACTTATAAGAATATTCTCAGTGTTAATGATTGTTTTACTTGTCAGAGGATGGTTGACGAAATACTTCGCAAAACAAAACAGTACTTGAAAGATAAAGCTTAGAGAGGAATTGTACGAATATTCTAACGCTATGGGTTTTATTGGTTGACGGCTATGATACAAATTATAGAAATTAAAAGCAATTGTTTATCGATTACTTATAAGCAAGCCTGTACTCTAAATTTAGAAGCATGCAAAGCATTGGACCCGTTTCAAAGATAACTACACTTTGCAGGGTATCTCTGCATCGCATCAAATCATATACGCATTTCAGTGGGATTGCAGTTGCTTCAACATGCTACTTGTTTATCCGACTTTGTCAGAGATACAAGTTCACCCGATTTTAATGAGGCATAGGAAAAAGTTCTGTATTTTTAGACTTATGTGTGGATAATGGATACCATGTTAATATCTATTTAAAGTAGTGCCATGGCAATCAGTGGTCACATTGAATTGTCAATACTTCAATTACATTCTAGTATTTATTTAAAAATCCATTCGCCAGTTTTGTTATGTTGTTAGGCTACACATTGCAGAAAGTTTATTATCACAAGAGATGGTCATATATAAATGAAGTCTTTTCTGAAAGGTATTTTGAGGTATATCCATCCAGGAATGAGACATATAATTTTTCGAATCAAGCAAATGTGAAAAAATTGAAAATAAAACATTACAGCCGTAATTACGTCCAGATTCTAGCCAAAATGTTGAACAAGAACGGAATTTCAGAAATGTTCATTTGAGTGAACAGTGTAGTATGGTAATGTGATGGTTCATTATAGACTGGTTGTACCTTACCTTGCTACGTAGAGATAATATATGGTGGTGATTGAATTTATGCCGAAAAGAAGAGAAAATACAGGAGAGGGTGAAAAAGTTGTAAATTAATTTGCAAATAGTAATTTATTTGAATTTTATTGATATGTTATGAACATGTGGCAGGTGTGAAGCCCTGTTTTTCTGTACAGAAATGTTGTGCTTTATGTTTGTATACAGTGGCTACAGTGCTTTGACCTTTGATCCTGTCTTCGTAGTGAACAGAATTTAATATTGTTATTATTATTATTGCTTTGAATTGTGATGAATAAATGTTTTGAAACCTAATTAAATTTTTACTCTTGTCGTTTTTGTTGGAGCCGTCTCCTTTAAGTGTCTGCGCAACTACTGTTGGAAACTTTCTTCATTTCAAATTGCTTTTTGATTTCATATATGTATTTAAAATTAAACGTAAAGCAAGTCTTAAAATGAATGCAAACATAGAAATGCAATGTTGCATATCCCAGTACTTAATATTTGTTCACGAATATCTTCATATTTTGTAATAGTAGTCGGGCAATTTCAAGCTATTTACGCACCCGCATTCCTGATCACACAGTATATCTCTGACTAAAATTGAAGTGACACCTGTGATGTCAAGTTATGTGCAGTACTCCATAATATTCGGCAATATTATACAATCAGTAAAACAACAAAGTGGACACTCTTTATTCAAAATTTTCACATAAACTGTCAATAAAATAAAATATAATATAGCCTATATCAAATCAAAGAAAAGTTAATACTTAAGATCAAGTTTTGAACGTTTACGCTTGGATGGGCACATTCATTTAATCGTTAAAAGGACAAATTAAGACAATTGCAAAAATTTGAATGCCAACGAACATTTGCATCTGTAAGAAATTCTTGTTCAACAATGAAACGAAGAATGAAAGAAAGAATGGGGAGGATTGAGCTCAGGATGGCAACTGCTGTTCAAGGACTGCATGGCGTCGGCAAGCATGGCCAAGATGCCTCCCGGCCCCCCCCCCACCACTCAGTGTTATTTAGGGTGCGCATATGCGTGTTGCCAGCACCCCCCTTTCAGCATAAGTCTGCTTTGTAAAGTAGGTAGACCTTTTTCTTTTGTTACGTGCCAGAGATTTTGGGAACACGCATGCGGTCCCTCCTTTCCCGGAGTGGGGGGGGGGGGGGGGGGGGGGTGGGGATGCCTCTCTTTCGTGTTTCTAGTCATTTAAAAAAAATAATTGTTTTAATTTGAGTCTACAAGATGGGAAATTACAACATTAGAATGGCTAGATGCCCATTTTTTTGCAACTCAGAGACTCATTTATTGTTAAATGGCTAGGCTCACTCAAGCGTGAATAATATGGTTCTAATTGCATATCATCATAAAGAGGAATAGTTTATGTTTATTTTGATATATGAAAAATAAGTTAAATTTTATTTGAAAATCTGAATTATAAATAGTGTCCACTTTTCCTTTTGCTGAGTGTATATGGGACATGAATTGACAAAGTTCCTTGGATATTCTTGGAATATAGCCGGGGAGAGGCAAAGAAGGAGGGAGGAAAAAGGGGAGAAAGAGAGAGTGAGAGAGAGAAAGAGAGAGAGAGAAGAGAGAGAGAGAGAGAGAGAGAGAGATAGGGGGGGGGGGGGGGGGGGGGGGGGGGGGGGGGAGGAGATATGATTATAAAGACGATTAAGATGAGAAATTAGAAGGAAAATTACAATCATTTTGTTGAAGACCAGAGTACCAAAACAATTTGTTTGTCATTCTTTAAAAAAAAGGGTTCTTTCTGAACTTCAAAAGTTGGGGGAGGGGTGCATGATGCCCTCTTAATATCTTAGCTGCACAGTGACAGAGTGTAACTCTGGATACAATTCCAAACTTACTTTAAAAAAACAACACCAAACAATAGACGTCAATATTTATATTCAATCAAATATAATTTAATTACAATTTATCCATATTTATATCCATGATTATTCATATTGTAAAAAAATAACAAAATGTATGAAAAAAATTTGAGATGAAGTCACAAAGGAGCAAATAATGCAATATGTTGAATATACCTTTCACATGATACATCCTTGGAGAAAAGAAATAAAGCCTATTTGTAAACTGAGCTACTCACTGTGTTCTTCCCCCTTC